GCAGTACAATGATTTTTATATCGATTCAACTTTGTATAACAGAATCAAAATTTTGTCAAAACTTGCTCCGAGTAGCAAAGAAAAAAATGAACTTACTATTTAGTTTCTTGCAGTTGATGCGGATAATTTTAATTTTTCCATTGTAAAACTCGCCGTCTACATTGCACAGCGTCCTTCATTTTCGAGGCTTCTAAATCGTCTGCGAGAAGAATCGGCGGGTTCCGAGTGGATAAATTAAAATCGTACAGCCGAGGAGACGATTCGCAGCCAAATAAATACACTTGGGCATAAGCCGAACGCCGGCTTAATGGAATTGACACTTGAATGCCCGGGGGTCTTCGGAGATCAGAAACGCGCGAACGCCGCAAGAAACGAAAGAATCCGGTGTATCTTCCTCGGCCAGGAAATTCAACGATCTTTTTCTGCCGGTTCCAAGAGAGGAGATTTCAGGGATACTTCCTCGTACTGAAAGGTGCACGACCTCCTGAAACGACTTCTGGAATCGCTGGCTCTCTTAGAAGCACGTGGTTAACTGGACCACGAGGCCGCGATGGTACCGTTAAGCACGCAACCGGCAAAAAGCCGAGCCATGACCAAAGCGGGTGTATATGTCTCGTTGCTAGCTTCTTTACAACTTCGAATTTCCTGGTCGCATAGCTCGGCCGAGGCCTATTGTCGGCCCTCTGTCCTTCTATCCACTCTCCGTTGTCCCATTCCGGACGGATCCGCCGCGGATTCGTCACTTCTATGGCCGCCGGTGTCCGCGGTTTTTGCTACCAAAAACGGACAAAAACGTGACCATTCGCGGAAAAACCGACGAACACGGTCCGCTGCGTTCTTACCATGAGCCTGCTCGAGGACTGATGAGACCGCGGCGTTTTGTGCTTTCACGTAACACCGATATTTATGCGTGTGCCGCCTGCGAATCATCTTGGAACAAATGCGTTTGTACGGTCTTCTGAACGCTAGATTTGCGGAGCATTAGAAGCGGCTGTTTTATGTTAGTCTATAAAAGTAACAATAAGACATTTATCCCGATTTTGAACGAGTCTTCATGTAGTATTTGCCGCAAGTAACATATATATCGAATAAATAACTCGTAAATCTATCTTTACAATCTTCGAGTAAACCGTTAAAATAAGTACGATCTTTTTTATAACGTTAAACATTCATGATACTTTTTGACTGTTTTTTATACATATTCTTTGCTGTTTTAAGATACTTACATTTTTTTCGGGAGTCTATAGATGAATTTTTGTTCAATGTGAGTTAATTTAGAAAATAATCTTCGATGTTATAATAATACTTTAAATATTGAAATATAATTAACCCCTTAACGCGCAGAAACGTATTAACACGGGCGTGCAAAACCGGCCAAAATGTGCAGACCCGTATATATACGGTCGGCGTCGCAACTTATGTTATGTTACCTATATTAATTGAAAAACAGTACGATGGGTACAAAATTCGATCTGCAATGCGATTCAATATTCACTATAATTATTTATCCACTATTTTTATTGAATTTTTAGTAATTTTTGCATTTTTTTTACATATTTATTGAAATTAAGGTCCAAATATGTATTTTCCTAGATAAAAAAAATTGATTCTTTTTGGTCGGTTTTTTTTTTAAATTGTGCATTAAGGGGTTAATT